GCTGGATTTCCCTGGCACATGCAGGCAAGAAGAGATGTGACTGCTGATCTCGGCTACTTTCTGGGGTTGCAGGCCCTTGTGCGCAGAGAACCTGAAGCCCGAACTCTCTCTGCTCACTAGGAGTCAGGGTTCGAAAGAGGCAGATGTTTGCACGGCTCTTGCTCTGCTCTATGCAGAGGGGCCTTGGGCTACCAGAATGGTCAACTTGGCACTTTCCCCAAGCCCTCGGTTCAATTCCAGTTCTGCAGGGGGATTAAAACATCCATGAGGAGGTGGGGAATGAACTGCAAGGGCCACCTGCCAGCAACCTGGCAGCGCTTCTTGTGGAAATCACCCTCCAAGGAGCTGATTCACACCGCTGCTTTGTGGATGCTAATGGTCCTACTAAAATGGGTCTAACGAAATGCCTCGCTGGGCGCGAAGCGTAGGAATAAATGCATCAAGACTGCTGTGGAGCAGTCTGCTCTAGGCTGTATATTTGCCAGGGAGGCAAATGTAAAGTTATATGGAAAGGAAGACGCCTATGACAGGAAAACTGGGACTAAAATGCTTGGCTCTGTCGGAAATGCCAGAAAAGATTGTGTGGACTTGGAGAAGTGGAGAGAGGCCTGGAGGCAGCAGAGGAGTGGGTTGTGGCTGTTTTCTGGACAACGGTACTAGATTTGCTCATTTGATCTCTGTGCTTAGCCTGCCTCCTCCGATGGCTAAATCCCTTTGCACATCTGAGCAATTTTGCTGAGGGGCATGGAGGAAAGTCCGAGTTACTGATCAGTTTAAGGGCTGCAAAGATTGTTCTTCTATGTCCTGGAAGCTCTGAAATGCCTCTTTTTTAAATATCTCTGTAGCACCCAGCTGCCCCAGGCGAGACCGGAGGCCCCACCGAGCCAGGAGCTGCAAGCACATGCATACAGACGAGAGAGGAAACTGGGACACAGGCTGTGTGACTTGGCAGAGCTGGGAATAGAACCTAGAGCTCCCGAGTCCACAGCTAACATCCTGCCCACATGCCCGGCTCATGCGGAAGGGGGACCCACGTGTGGTGGAACAGGGGAGGCACAGCAGCTGCTTTGCTCCGCACAAGGCCTGGGGGAGGGAAGGGAATCCAGCCCCCCCACAGCGGCAGACTCGCCAGAGAGGGAATACAGAAACCCAGGAGCCATCTCCCCACTGGGAGGGCAGACGGCATCTTTGGAGAAGGCCAAATCGACAGGCCTCGGTGCAATATTTCAGGGAGCCACCTCCCGGGTGAGCTGCGATGAAAAGCCATGCAGGGTTTTGGTGGCCTGGGGGAGGGAAGGGAATCCAGCCCCCCCACAGCGGCAGACTCGCCAGAGAGGGAATACAGAAACCCAGGAGCCATCTCCCCACTGGGAGGGCAGACGGCATCTTTGGAGAAGGCCAAATCGACAGGCCTCGGTGCAATATTTCAGGGAGCCACCTCCCGGGTGAGCTGCGATGAAAAGCCATGCAGGGTTTTGGTGCAAATGGGAGTTTTACAAAGAGCCCCTCCCCCCCCAGCCGCGCCATTTGGGTGCCCAAGCCCAGACTGGCAGCACTCCCGCCTATCACCCCCTAGCACATGGATAATGCAGGATTTGGCCCGAAGGAAAGGAGGAGGGGTGAGGAGAGGTGGTTGCCAGCCCAGGCGTGGCACGGTGCACTGGCCCAGGCGGGCGTCTTACTGCAGAAAACAACTTGTGCGCTTACATGTCCTTGGAAGGATGAGGGAGGCTGAGACCTGAGCACCTGGGGGGACTTGTCCAGCCCACCGGCACCAATTCACCAAACGGAACCCGGGCCGGGCCGGGGCAGCTCCCAGCGGATCAGGCCGGCACGTGCAGAAGGGCCGGGATGCTGAGCATGGCAGAGCATCCAATGGAGCTGCTGGAGCGTGACCCATGGGGCCTGGCCGATGGAGGGT